TCAGGGAAGACGTCAGAAAATTCTTCCAACACAATAGCGACTTCTGGGGGAACTATGTTAGAAATATCCTTCGGAGTTTCTCTAGCGGCGAGGGCGAAAATAGGAGCTCCGTTGGCCAGTTCTCGATCAATTTCTTTGGCTCCAATCAGGTTAACACCTTGGGAAGATTTATTTGGGTCGGTCTTCTTGTCAGTTCCTTTTGGTTGAACCGGAAGGATCTTGACCTTCTTCCCGTCGTGTTCAAACAATAGCATATTGGATCGCCCGAAGATGTGAACGTCGTTATCAAATAACCAGGGCCTTCCAAGAATAACTTGACCCACATCCATTTTCAAAACATCGCACCAAACTTTGTCCTTATAAATGGCAAATTGAAGAGGGACTAGGCATCTCTCTTGGACATTGAGGGCGGTGTCGTTAATCCATGATACCTTGTATGGATTAGGATGGGGTACAACCTTGAGACCAAGCTTAGCGATCACAGCTTAGGAAACCGCGTTAATACAACTTCCACTGTCCACGATCACCTTACAATTTTTATCACCAATCTTGGTGAACGTATGGAAAATAGAAGTACGTCTCCAATCATCATTTTTATCACCAATCTTTGTGAACGTATGAAAAATGGAAGTACGTCTCCAATCATCAACAGCCTTGGGTTGAGAGATGGCGCATCTGACAACTGATACAGTAGGAGTTTCAATTTGTCTAAGACAACTCAAGATAGTATCATCAGCATCATCCTCGAAATCATCGGTATCATCGTCAACTTGATGGACAAACTCATCACTATCAGGTTCAGGTTTATATTCGTGTTGATCATCGATGATAGTCACCTTGTGACGGGTCGGACAGTTCGCAGAAACATGCCCATACCCTTGGCATTTGTAGCACTTGACGTGAGCGCCAATCTTGGAGAAATCTTTCTCCGGTTCCTTGCCTTTGGAATCGACTTTAGACTGGGAAGAACTGGGGTTAGATCGACTCGGAGGATGACTAGAAGTAGTGGCACGGGAAGATTGGGAAGAATGAGCTCTAAAATCCTGATTCCTATAAGATTGATGGGATTTGGCTTCATCTAGATCTTGAACTAACGCGTAAGCTTTTTCAAGGGTGTCTACTCCCCGAGCAAATAGTTCGGTTTGCAGATCATTTCTCAATCCAGCTCTAAACTTCGACAAGACTTTCATTGGCGCCTCTTGTTCAATAGTGTTGCATCGAGTGAACAGTTCGTCAAATTGTGCGACGTAGTCTTTCGCAGATTTGGTTCCTTGAGTGAGGCGATGCCACTTATCTAACAACCGATGATAAAATGATGGCGGAAGGTATTTCTGTTTAAGTTCATTGGTCATTTCTCGCCAAGTTGTAATCGGTAACTCACCTCTAATGTGCCTCAACGTTTCGAGGTTGGTCCAATATTGGCAAGCAGGTCCGGTAAGTTTCATAGCGGCGAACTTAACCTTTCGGGGTTCCGTCAGGGCGTACCAATCAAAATAACGATCCATGCTCTTCAGCCAGTCCAAGAAAGCTTGTGGGTCGAGCTTGCCGTCAAAGGTTGGGGCGTTGATCTTAATACTCCTCAGGTATTGCGCATCCGGATCAGGTACCGGTTGATGTGGGGGGCGCTGACCAATGTTTCCATAGCCTTGACCTTGCAGCGGTGGGGGGACATGTTGATAACCTTGATCTTGCAGCGGCGGGGGTGCAACACGAGCTTCTTCGAGCCTAGCAAACTTTTCGTTGGTTTCATTTCGGAGATTGGTTAAACCCTGGACTACGGCACCTAATTGTCCTGCTAGCTCATCGAGTTTCTTATAGAGTTCGGGATCGCCACTGCCTGACATACTGGACTCACTAGTCGACTCACTTGACTCTCCTAAGCGATAGGGTAGACCGGTACGAGTGGGCATGCACTAAATGCAATGAAATGAGTGGGTGCACAAAAATTAAATGAGATGACTAATTTTTTTTTTTTTTAATAATAAAGACTCACAAATTTCCTAACCTAGAACCAGGTTCTCTGATACCAAAAATGATGCGAAACAATGTGATGCAGGTGTGAAGATTAATGACAACAATGTTTCGCCAAATCAGCGATCGATCTAGGCAGGAAGCTCAAGAATAAAGTGTAGCTTTCGATGGTTTTTAAGCAAAAGTTGCAATGTACTAAGTTCAAATCTTTTGTAATGATCCAGAAAATAAATGTAATGATTCGTTCTTTCAATACAGTTCAAAGTGTAATATTTGGATAAGTAAAAGTACTTAGCAACAGATTCACTCGCTCACTTAATCAAACTGAATACAGCACAGATACGATTGATAATAATATTGATAGCAACATGCAAGCAATAGCAGTTCCGTAAATAACTGGGCGAAAGAAAGTTGAACCTTCGTCGGGTTGAACTGGTTCGATGGGAGGTTCCTCTGGTGGTGGTTCGTACACGCCAAAAATGAGGGGAGGAAGTTCTCCACCGAGGGCGGCGTAGTTCGGATGGAGCGGTGTATCTGGATGGAAACGCCGATGCCACGAACTGATTCCCAAGCTACTCTCTACGCTGTCAACGATCTGATGAGTCACACGCTCAACGTATTCGGGCACGCTCTCGAATGACTGATAATCAAACCACGGAGAAATCTGTAAATCTGCGATGCCGGTCTCTGGATCTAGCACGATTCCATCATCAGCATCAGGATCAGCCATACACTAACGGTCAACAGAATCGAGCAATCCCAAATGCAGATCAATACAAATGAACCCAAAATAAACAGATCTGAACCCACTTGGTTCGGTTCGGATCTGAACCAAACAAACCCAACAAATAAATAGGAAAGAGGAGGGGTCTGAACAAATCAACTCAGATCCAAGGCTTCCTTCGTTCGTTGCAATGGAGAGGAGAAGGGCACGGATCGAAAACGGCGGCGGGGCGGGTGAAGTCGGGACGGCAGCGCTCGGGTGGAGCGGGCGGCGTTCGAGGCGGATCAGGATGGAGGGCGTTCGGTCGGGGAATCCGGCGGTCGGGTCGGAGGGCGAGGGAAATGGGGTTCTGGACGTCGTCGGATTTTGGGGAGGTGGGTTTTTAGGTTCTGAGGGAGCTGCTGGAGGAGGAGTTGGTGGCAGGTGATGTTGGTTGTTTGCTTGGGGAAGAGGATGAACAGTAGCGGATTTTGAGTTTTGATTTTCTTTTTTTTTTTTTGTTGTAGAAGAAACGAAAATGAACTGCTAGGGTTTCACACCTCAGTTGAGCAAATCAATTTCATTTCATTTCAATTATCTTTCAACTGATTACAGGAGAGTTTAAATAAAGCAAATTACAGTTTTGGAAAATCCTCCTAAATCCCTCAAATCACTCCCATAACCAATTACATTAAATCAGCCCAATAACTACCAAATAAAAATCAAAATTCGAAATTCAAAAATTCAAAATTCAAAATAATTATTACAACTTGAAATCAAAACCATAGTGCTGAAATATTGCGCCTCCTGCGCTGATAAACCCGGCGAAAATCTCGTGTATGAGTCCGGATGTCCCCATCACATTCTGTTCGTTTTGCATGGATACAGAAGTACAATTCAAGGAAGAACCATTCTGTTCATCGTGCATGGCTACACTAACTACCTTGCCTCATTACCTCTATGCTTCATCTATGAACCATCTTGATTTTTTTCCTCAACAAAACCAAAATCTATGCAGTACTCAACACTGAAGAAATTTCTCAAAGGGGAGTACCGATCCTCATAATAAGAGGAGATCTATAAAACAATGAAACATTGCATTTCTACCTTATGAATTATGTCTTTTTTAATCTTGAAACGATTCCTAGTAATTCATCCTTTCAGTAAAAGTCATTGAGAGATTTCACCTTCTACACCTGACTGTCGTCTAATGAGAAATTGACGTCTCCAGTCTGCATCATACTAATCTATCAAGAATGCTAACTCATAGTCATAGATTGCCCTAAATATCTTTCAATGCATTTTATAAGATTTCTGTATCAAATGCATGACCTTTTACTGTTACATGTATGGGATTATCATGAAGTGGTATTTTTACAACACCAAGAAATTAAATGAATTCTACCATACCTAGTGCATATACCTATGCTACATATGCAAAATAAATCTCAAGCAGAAAAGTTTGTTTAGGTTAGCATTTAAATAGGAAAAAGCTCCATAACCAAAATATTCTGCTTCTTTAGCAACAAACAGAAGCAAATTCAAAATGATGGCCAATGAAGATCAAAATCAGGGGTACAACATCAATACAAATCCCTAAATCATTGGATGGATTAGCAAGACAAAGGCCAACTTCCTAATTCATCTAAACAGCACACAGTTAACAGCAATTGATATTATCAAACAAGAGTTCGTCAGTGTAAGGTTATGTAAACACTAAAGAGTTCAGCCATTCACGATATAAAATATGGACAAATTTTCAAAACTGACCCATTTAGACTTTTATTCCCAAAAAATGTCCCCATTCAAGAAAAATTGCAAAAACCAACTTGGTTTCAGCCTCAGCGCTAAAACCAGGTCGGTTTTTGAAAAACAATTTCCGAAACTTCACGGGAGTTAAACTCCCGTGAAGTTCAGTAAATCTGCTAAACTTCACGGGAGTTCAACTCCCGTGAAGTTTTAAAAAAAATTCAAAAAACCGACCTGGTTTCAGCGCTGAGGCTGAAACCAGGTTGGTTTTTGCAATTTTGTTTGAATGAGGTCGTTTTTTGGGATTAAGTTCACAAATGGGTCGGTTTAAAATTTTGTGCTATAAAATATACTGGTAAGGCAGAGACAGAGTACTAACAAATTTAAACTAATGAAGTTTATTGTATGTACCTGTCAGCTCAGCTGAGAGAGCAGTCTCTACTAGAAAATTCTTCTAATCCAAAGACATTTGCGACGCCGCCTGCATACAAAATCAACCAAGCAAAAACCAAATATACTAGGAATTTAACGTAAGCTGTTTCAAATAGCCAATAAGTATCAAATTTTATTAATCCAATCAACCATTCAATACCCATTCAATTGTACACAATTTCACTCTCCTACGCTTTTGTCTCAACTTCTCTCATTCTCCCCTCTCTCACCAACATCCCAAGCCCCTCCTCTCTCTCCTCTCTCACCCTCGAACCCTTATACCTCCTCTCATCATACAAAGGATTTGCGGTCAAAATCCTCAACTGCCTCCCATTGCTAATCTCCAAAACCTCCGGCAACCCATTTCCACAACCCCTCGAAATCCCAACATCAATCCTTATAGCTCGATCCTCACAAGCCCCATTAATCCCTTCGCTTTGTATTGTATGACCCATCACCATTCTCTTAACCCCTGGTATCATCTCCAGTATCTTTTGAAGACTATCACAATCGCAATACCCCTCAGAGAATCTCCTCAACCAAACAACCGAGTCCCTCCCCCTCATATAACTCGGCGAGAATCTCCCTCTCAAACCCTTAATCCAATCCCTAACTTCACCATTGATTCTATCTAACCCATATTTGACATGTTCACCAATGATACCTCCATGAACAAATAGAGTATCGCCGATTATAATCACCGATTGATTATCCGCGAGGAATCGAGATGATATTGGGCCATTCGGCCGCAATGCTGCGATTCTCGCCCTAATCCCTTCCCAATACTCCCTTTTTACCCCCGGGAACGATTTGGGGACCCCCGCGAAAGGGTTTTCAGGGTTTTCAATCTCAGGGCAGAGTTTTTTCATAAAGATTCCATTTTTAAACCAAAAGCCCCAGTTCTCAAACTCGGTAAGGGCTTCAGGGGTGACGTAGCGGAAGTCGCCCTCGATGTTCATGATCTCGTGGTTGCCGAGGAGGGTGATGAGGCGCCCATTGGATTCGATCTTCAGGCGGTGGAGGAGGTAAAGTAGCTTGAGCTCGTCGCCGCCGCGGTGAGGCAACGTCGCCGAAATCTGACGGCGGGGTGGAGTGCGGCGCGGACCAGCGAGGCGAGGGTCGATATGGAGGCTAGGGTTAGGTTTGGAGGGATTTGGGGAGGTCGCCGTGGAGTCGCCGATCGGCGAGGAGCGCGGTGTCGTGGGAGGGGCAATGGTAGAGGTAAGCGTAGGATGCATAGGTTTCAAGGGTTATGGTTTGGGCAGGAAGAGGAGCCGTCTGACCGAGAAATCGATCGAAGGCGTCGATGAGGAGAGAATCAGAGGGGGGAGGGATCGCAGTGGGGTCCACGCGAGGTGTTCGGGTTGGACTTGGTTCATTTTTTCTCGGCCGCCTCTTTTCCCTCTCCTCCTCCTTTGTTTGCGTCTTTTCAAGTTGCGTGGGAGGAGAGGGAAAGAAAAGAATTGCTGTTTGTTTATAGACTTGTAGCGAGGAGGGTGGAAACAACTAAAAATTTAACTACTATTTTCCAGAGGAACTAGATTTTATACACGGTCAACGCACGTCGTTAAATATCATGATTAACATCTTATTTAGATGGAGGTTAATAGATGAAAATTAAAGTAAAATTTTAATTTTGTTTGAAACCATTTCCTAGGCCAAAGGCCTATGATGTATATTTATAGATAGTCAATGTGAATAGGTTGAGTACCCAAGAGTCACCCTCACTTAATGGGGTGTTACACCATCATAATGGGGTGTGAATCGAGGGATAATGAGGGGGAGGCCAAAAGGCCTCCCTCATCTCATAATACTCCCCCTTATCCATCCATTACCTTGGGTTTAGCTTATGAACACTTCAGAGTTCGTAAAGCTAATGGGGTGGATACTTCTGGATCCAGAGTAAACTTGTTTGCCTCGTTAAAACCTTAGCTGTGGAAAACCCAGTGGGAAAAAACCATCAGCCTAAGGAAAAAGAGTACAACCCATAGGTTACTCCCCTTGAACCATACAAGCTTCAGGCTTGTAGGTCTTTCAGATGTCTCATCCCTATTCCTTTTACAAGTTTTACAAAAGTACATCTAGGCAGAGTCTTAGTGAACAAGTCAGCTAAATTATTACATGATTGGATCTGATGTACTTTAACTTGCTCCTCCTCTTGAAGATCGTGCGTCCAGAAAAACTTGGGAGATATGTGCTTCGTCTTGTCACCCTTGATGAAGCCAGACTGAAGTTGAGCAACGCATGCTGCATTGTTTTCAAATATGGTAGTTGGCTCAAGGTCACCAGTCTTCAGGCCGGTAGACACTAAGATGTGCTGAATGACAGAACGAAGCCAAACACATTCTTTGCTGGTTTCATGGATCGCGAGGAGTTCGGAATGGTTGGATGAGATTGCTACAGTGGTATGCTTGACAGACCTCCAGGAGATGGCCGTACCACCGAATGTAAACACAAATCCGGTTTGTGATTTCTCGGTGTGGGGATCAGACCTGTAACCTGCATCTGAATAACCAATTAAGGTGGGAGACCCACCCTTCGGGAAATATAATCCCAGGTCTATAGACCCTTGGAGGTAGCGCAGAAGATGCTTAACTCCATTCCAGTGGCGCTTTGTGGGCGCTGCACTGTATCTGGCTAGTAGGTTAACTGAAAACGCTATATCGGGACGCGTACAGTTAGCCAGATATAATAGTGCTCCAATGGCACTGAGGTAAGGTACTTCAGGACCTAGCATTTCCTCCCCCTCTTCCAGCGGACGGAAGGGGTCGTTCTTTACATCCAATGATCGAACAACCATTGGTGTACTAAGAGGATGACATTTATCCATTCGGAATTTTTTAAGTAATTTCCGTGTATATGTGGATTGGTGTAACAGGATACCACCCTTAAGGTGTTCGATCTGTAAGCCAAGACAATACTTTGTTTTGCCTAGGTCTTTCATTTCAAAAGTATTCTTACGGCTTTCAGATATCCCAGTGATCTCTGCAGGAGATCCAATGAGATTTAAGTCGTCGACATAGACGGCGACTATAATGAATCCTGTTCCCGATCTTTTTATAAAGATACACGGGCAGACTTTATCATTTGTGAATCCTTGCGTAGCAAGGAACTCACTTAGTCTGTTATACCACATTTTCCCCGATTGCTTAAGACCATATAATGATCTTTGAAGCCTAACAGAATAGACGTCCCGAGGTCTATCTGCTATCTCTGGTGGAATTTTATATCCGTCAGGGAGTTTCATATAGATATCTTTATCTATATTGCCATATAGATATGCAGTCACAACGTCAATGAGCTGCATTTCTAGGCCTTCCAGAGATGAGAGGCTTATTAGGAATCGGAAGGTATTCTCATCCATAACCGGAGAATATGTTTTTTCATAGTCTATTCCCGGTCTTTGGGAAAAACCTTGTGCTACAAGCCGTGCTTTGTAGCGCACAACCTCGTTGTGTTCATTTCTTTTTCTGATGAAGACCCACTTATATCCCACAGGTTTTACACCTTTAGGTGTTTGGACTACTGGTCCAAAGACTTCGCGTTTCAAGAGTGAGTCCAGCTCTACTCCTATTGCCTCGTTCCACTTTGGCCAATCGTCTCTGCGTTTACATTCCGCTAGAGACCGTGGTTCGATGTCATCGTCGTATTCAGTGACGTGAACGGCAATATCGAACGCAAAGTCGTCGTCGTCGACTGTGCTTTTTCTGTCCAGTACCTCCTTAGTACGTACAAAATTTAATGATGTTTCTCCTATTTGTTCCTCTTCAGGGGAATCTAGGAGGGGAGAGGAAGCTGGTCGGATACGGGATTGAATCCCACTTTCTCGGGTAAGGACACGGAATGCCGGTCCTCTTCACCTCCCGAACAGACATCAGGGCTTCGATTTTTCTTTCGAGCTCCTTTATCTTTTCGGCCTCACCCATATCCTGTTTTGGATAAGTTTCGAGAGGAATCATACGGCCACCCCCAGTGTTGTCACTACTGGTGGGTCCACCCCCAGTGTTGTTATTTTTTGTGGGGCCACCCCCATTATTCTTGGGTGGTGCGTCGGCCATGACGAATTCGACCACCTCCGGATTGCTGCCAACTGTGGTGTTCTGGATGCGATGGTCGGACTCAACTAGCTGGTTCGACAAAGCTCGGATTCGTTGGTCGTGCATTTGTCTCATCTCCTGCATAGCCATTTCCATTTCAAACTTGAAGATTTCCTTCTGCTTAGTCAGGGCCTCTTCAATGATTTTGGCTATCTGATCTGTATTGACCATGAGCACCTCTCGAGCTTGCCCTATGCTAGACGTCCGTATTCTGATAAGTGATGCTGCATGCAATATTGCATGACCCCAAGCCTCAACAGGCAACTGTGATTGCATCAACAATGGACGAGCAATCCATTGCAATCTCTTAATTAGAGATTCTGCTAACCCGTTCTGGGTGTGAACATGTGCTACAGGATGTTCAACTTCGATGCCAGTTGCTAGGCAATAGTCTTGAAAGACTTGTGAAGTGAATTCTCCCGCATTATCAAGACGTAATTTCTTGATTTGATTATCGGGGAAATGAGCCCGCAACTTAATAATTTGTGCCAATAGCTTTGAAAAAGCTAAGTTGCGGGTGGACAAAAGGCACACGTAAGACCACTTGGTTGATGCATCTATAAGTACCATAAAGTACCTAAATGGTCCACTTGCGGGGTGAATAGGCCCACAAATATCGCCATGTATTCTCTCCAAGAAGCTAGGAGACTCTAATCCCACTTTCAGAAGGGAAGGTCTCGTGATCAGTTTACCTTGAAAACAAGATAGACATGAGTAATCACTCTTCTGAAGAATCTTCAGGTTCTTCAGGTTGTGTCCACTTGATTGGCTCATGATGCGGTGCATCATTGCTGATCCTGGGTGACCCAGTCTGTTATGCCAAAGTTTAAATTTCGTCGAAGAATGGCACTTCTGGTGCACAATCATGTTAGCTTCTACTGGTTGAATATATGTATGATAGAGACCCGACGGGAGTCCCTTGAATCGTTCTAAGATAGTTTTTGAACCATCTTTTTGACGAGTTACATACAAATACTCATCCTCATTTATTTCATTGGTTTCTAAGTGATATCCGTTTAAACGAATATCCTTGAAACTTATGAGGTTTCTATTAGATTTCGGAGAGAATAATGCATCTTTTATTATTAGTCTCGTTTTATTTGGGAGCAATATCATTGCTTCACCAAATCCTTCTATTATATTAGATAGTCCTGAAATCGTAATTACAGGATCGTCATAATCATATAAGCTATTGAAATAGCTTCTTTCGCGAAGGATTGTGTGCGTCGAGGCACTGTCCACAAGGCACTCACACTTCATCTATAACATGAATGCAATATTTTAATCTAAAGAAAATAACTATCTTTATTGAAAAGTAAAGTGCATTACATGGAAAGTAAAGAACTAAAGATGAAAGTACTATGAGAATTTAAATGCATATAAAGATAACATGGATCTAGTCGAGAAGATCATCCATTTCAAAGTCATCAGCAGTGAACTGAGTAGACGGCTGCTTTTCCACCAGATTTGTTTCAACAGGAGACTTCTGGCTCGCTAGATACAGATCTTGGAGGTGTCGTAGAGTGCGACGGTTTCTGGACCAATGTCCAGTCATGCCACATCTGTGGCATTTGTCCTCCCAAGTGTTCTTGGGAATGGACGACAGCTCAGTGGTCTTCTTCTTCCACTTCTTCTTTCCCTCACTATTGCTGCTCTGGGGCGGGTTGTTTTTCTGGGGTGGACATATGGCCTGCCACTTAGGGGCTTTCACCTTGTTGAATTTACCCTTATGCTTTTTCTTCTGCTTCTGGGAAGAAAACATGTGAGCTTCGGGTAGAGGAGCTGAGCCTGCAGGGCGTAGGTTATGAGTGGCCAAAAGCAATTCTCTGTTTTGCTCCGCCATCAGAAGGGTGGAGTGCAATTCAGAATACTTTTTGAACTTTCGTTCGCGGTACTGTTGCATGAGGATTGCATCCTTCTCGTGGAAGGATGTGTAAGTCTTCTCCAACATGCGTTCCTCCGAAACTTCTTCACCACACAACTTCAGGCGTGAGGTGATATTATGAAGTGCTGAGTTGTACTCAGCTACGGACTTAAAGTCCTGAACTCGGAGGTTTTCCCACTCATAACATGCACGTGGGAGGATCACATCTTTCTGATGTTTGTATCGATCCTCAAGTGCAGTCCACAATTCCTTTGGG